ACAACTATTTCATGAACTCACCGGAGAAATTATACAAAAAGTCCAAAATAATGGCTTTTCTGTAAAAATTATAAACACAATGTGTTCGCCCATCAGATCTTCCCATCATGGTGACAATCATAGCTGTTCTGGGTAAATTTGCAGCCACTGCCAGTTTTTCCACAGTTTACGTTTACACGGCGGAATTATACCCCACCGTTCTGAGGTAAGACCCTAACGTCCCCAAAACAAACCTTTGAATCAATTTACGTCAGCGGTGTTAAGAAACGTGCACATTTTTATCCTGCCAGACAGAACGGTGTAGGTCTGAACTCTATGTGTGCCCGCATGGCGGGAATCCTGGCCCCGCTGATCAAGCTCCTGGTGGTCTACCATCACACCATCCCCATGCTGATATATGGCACCGTGCCCATTGTAGCTGGGGGTCTTTGTGTACTACTTCCTGAAACTCTCAACGCTGAACTTCAAGACCACACTGAGCTCATGTAAGTGTTCAAATCTTTACAAAGATCAACTTTTAAAAAACTTACATCCAAATCATCTTGTTTATGATTTCAGAAAGCCCTATGATGGACCCAGTACTCGCAAAGACAAAGCAGAAAAAAGCACAAAAATGTGATTTCTACAGTTGTTGCATTTTTCACAATATTTTTTATTTTTTTGCAGATGTTGTGGTATTTAATATTCAGTAATATATAAAGTATTTCAGCATGTCCCTTATTATTGTTTTGTTGTTGCAATTTGAAAAATGATTGTCACTCCTATAAAAGCTGTAATGTGCCCAGCCCAATTCAAGGACTGCAAGGACCCTGGACAGGTTGCGAACGCATAATAAATTAATATTTAAAACATTCTCTCAGAAACTGCATTTGTTGTGAAAATGAAAAACTACCAAGCAGGAGAAGTGGTGTGGATCTTGGCTCTGGAACATTGAACATCTGGCCGTTGCTCTTGCAAATTGGCTAAAAGGGCCATAGGAGTTTGACTCTCCAGTCTACAATGACAATTGTATAATAGACGTTGTGTAAAGTGCTAATAAAAATAAAAATATTATTTGCTAATCTTATCTTTCGGCTGTTCCCTCTTCAGGGGACACTAGTCATCCTCCTCCATCTCACTCTGTCCTCACTCTAACTACCTCCATGTCTTCTCTAACTGCATCCATATATCTCCTGTTTGTCTTTTTCCACCTCTCTAACATCCTTCTACCAGTATACCCACTGTCCCTCCTCTGGACATGTCCAAACCATCTCAGTCTGGTCTCTCGAACTTAACTTTCCAGTTGTTCAGCCTGAGCTGTACCTCTGATGATCTTGTTTCTAATCTTATCCATCCTTGTCACTCCCAAGGAGAACCTCAACATCTTCAGTTCTACCACTTGTCTCCCATCTTTTTGTCAATGCCACAGTCTCAGAAGATTCTCAGGCATCCAGGTCATGGTAGATCAACAAAAACGGGTTGAAAAACAAAACGAAACAAATGCACTTCTATTCTGTAGCTCCTTCTCATTCACACACATGTACTGGTCTTTCGGCCTGAATATTTACACCACGCAACTCATCTTTGGTTTTGTTGAAATTCCTGCAAACATGGGTACCTGCTCCATGATTCAACACTTGGGGAGGAGAATAATGCGAAGCAGGTTTCCTGTTCTTCAGTGGGGCTTCTTGTCTGCTGGCACTTGCTGTTCCAAAAGGTATCTGAAAACCCTGGTCAGGTTTATTATTTTTTGTTTTAGGTATAAAAAGATATTTTTCAATTATTCGTATTTTTCTTGTACATTATGACCATAGCAATGCTGGGAAAATTCAATGCCACAGCTGAGTTACATCCAACCAATTGAAGGTAATGCTATATAGGTCATGTTTTATCTGCTTCTCTTAAAGATAACATAACACACTTATATGTGCTTCATATTTACTAAAATTTATAATGACATCAAAGCAAAGGACATTTCCATTTACAGTGGGATTCTAAGGAAAGGTTATAAACAGTTAATATCTTACCTGTTCCAGATAGGTTTTCGACCTCACTTTGAAGAAATGGGCTCCAATTACGACCAGATCGATGAGCTAATAGCTAGTTAAAGTGAGACCATGGCCAAATTGGATTGATACCATCCTAAAAGTCCCGTCTTAAAAATGTCACAGTTTTTCATACAAACACAATTATATCAACCTTTTAGAGTTTTGTTAACGAGTTCTGTCACTGACGTTTCTCTCTTTTGTGTCGTTATTCTTTTGGGAAATCAGTGGATCACTTGGTTTGTTGTAAAAAATAAAGCACCTGAGAAGAATTGGGGGGGTAGACCAAATTATGAGTCAAGTAATAACTGAGACAACATACAATCGGTACTTCTGCTGAGGAATATTTAAATGCAGTTGTGGCTTCAAGGGGCACAACATAATCATTTTAATTCATATCAATTTAATCATCCTGTTCTGATAATATTGAACAGCCCTCATAAAATGTAATTTTTCTGCAGACATAGTGGTATGGTCTGAACTCCACGTCCACTCGCGTGGCAGACATCCTCACGCCACTGGTCAGACCCCCAGAAGTTTACCATCGTGGCATTTCCATGGTGATTTATAGCATCACCCCAGTTGCTGCTGGTGGTTTCAGATGACTGCTGCCTGAAAAGCTCAACGTTGAAATTCAGGACCACGTTGAGCTCAATAAGCTTAGTACAACTAAAAATATGAAATGTAATTTTTAGTACATTATACAGTTTCTGTTTTAAATTAGAAACACAATGCATGGACCAGTGTCGAAACAAAACTATAATTCATGTTCAAATTAATAATAATAATACAAGTGACTTCTCTCTTATTCATTACCAGGCACAAAAGTTGTAATCAAACACAAACAAAACATTTAAGCCAAAAGCGCTTTGATGCATTTGTTTCATATGCACCAGTTATCAGCTACAAACATAAAATTAAAATATTTTACTGCATTTCAAACATACTTTTCTGCTAACAAACTTTAAAAATACCTAATTAATTTACGTTTCTTGGAATATTATTTATTCATAGATTTTTTATTTTTTTTAATAAAAGATTCAAGCGTTACCAAACATGTTGTAATGGTTGGTTTTTGACACACTAAGGTTCTTACATATTAATCAGTTTTCAACTGACCAGCTGAACAGGATAATTTAACCATTTTTATTAGATCAAATATGTCAAATAGATCAAATATATCATTAAAATTTGATTAAAATTAACTCTTTTGCCCAGGAGTGTTGCCGAGCTGTTTGGTTGACCCATCTTTGCAACATTGCTTATACATCGAGGGCGGTGGTTCCCCTCTTCAAAAAGATGGACTGGAGGGTGTTTTCCAAGGACATCACTCTCCTTGGACTCCCTGGTTAAGCGCACTTTGGGGTGCAAGAAAACAGTTCAGCTGATGGTTGAACCTTGGATTCAGGAGGAACAATGCAGGTTCTGTCCTGGCTGTGGATCACTGGACCAGTTCTTTACAGTCATTAGGGTCCTCAAGGGGGTGTAGGAGTTTGCATGTGTTTTGTGGACTTGGCAAAGGCATTCAACTGTGTTCCTTGAGGTACTTTGTAAGTATGTAATTGGGGGTTCGTTACTACGGATCATTTAGTCCATATACAAGTGTTGCAAGAGTTTGGTTGACATTGCCAGCAGTAAGTTGGACTCCATCAGGGCTGCCTGTTGTCACTGATTGTTTACACCAGTTATGGACAGAATTTATCACCAGGGGGTAGAGGGAATCAGTTTTGGTGGCCTCAGGATTCTTTCCCATTTACAGATGATGTGGCACTGTTGTTATCATTGTGCTGTGATCTCCAGCTCTCAGTGGAGAGGTTTGCAGCAGAGCGTGGAAGCAGATGGGATGAAGATCAGCACCTCCGAATCTGAGGCCTTGGTCCTGAGTCGGTAAAGGATATATTCAAGGGTGAGGTGCTGGCTGAAGTGGAGGAGTTTTAAGTATCACTAGATTTTGTTTACAAGTGAGGGAAGAATGGAGCATGAGATCAACAGATCGATTGGTTCAGCTCCCCAAGTATTGCGTACTCTGTGCCGGTCCCTTTTAGTGATGAGTGAAATTAAAAAGTGCATTTCTAACTTTTAGCACATGAAGAATTCACAAGTGCTGCAATTATTCCAGCCTTTCAACAAGAATAAAGAATGCAACTTGAGACTTTTGATGTCATGGTTTGTGGAAGATAAATGGGCCCAGGAATGCAGACCGACATGAGCTAAAAATAAATACTTAAAATCTTTGATGAAGTAAAAACGGCAGCAACACCCGACAGGAACAAAAGGGGAAACCCACAAGGAGACACAATAATGGGATGGATGGGGGCCCAGGAATGATTTTAAATATAACTTACTCCAAATTTTTTTCATTAAATTGTGTGAAATGTATTCTGATAAACAAATGCATTTTAAAGATTGGTTTACATAAAACTCTAGTTATCTGCAAACAGCAGCAGTAGCAGCTAGCTCTAAGTCACAAGGTTTAAAATATGGATGGATGGATAATCACAATCAGCAGGACTGTTTATTTTTAACTTATCCATTCAGACAGACTTGAACTCCCATTATTCGCAGCTGAAGACGTTCAAAAAGTTATCTACAACAGCTCTTTACAACTTTTCTAGAGGATCTCACTATTTGTTCATGTTTTATTGAGTCTCTCAACTTTCACCTTCATCCGTTGGTTTGGACTGTTAGCATGCAAAAACAGGAACAAACTCTCAGGGTGTGCAGCAAAACCACTGGCATAGCGGCACAGAACCTCACTGACCTACACAAGTCAAGGTCAGTGAACAAGGCCAGGCTGATTCTGGCAGATCCTGATCATCCACTTCATGGAGAGTTCAGGTTGCTTCCATCTGGACGCAGGCACCATATTTTTTCAAGGATTTAAGGTTCTTTATTTGTCATACACACCACAGGTGGTACATGTGTTGGAACAAAATTGTGTACACAGGGTCCCAGTTACATCCAACAAAAGTATAAAATGGAAAAGAAAAACAGTAATAAGATCTAAGATATGAACTAAGAAAAATGTTAACTAAAAATACACTAAGCACTAGTAGTATAAAAAAAACAATACGCTGAACAGCAACTTATATTTCCATGTATAAGTCACGTTTTTTTGTGTGTGCATAATTTGTATGTCCTGCGACTTATATGCCTTAGTGATGTATTTATGGATTTTCCCATATTTGAAAAACAATTTTTGGCTGAGATATGACCGTTTTCATTCATTCTGACTGAAAAAAATGAACACTACCATGTTCAGCCACTAGATGGCAGTCGAGTAGAAAAGCATGTTGTTGTATCATGTAAAAGTGGCTATTAATGACACAATCGGCTTGCCATAGCCTGCCCCTGTCGTCTGCCTGGAGCAACCGAATCAGCTTCATTTCGCTGCACCGCCTCGGCAAAATACAGCTGATTTGACCGTCAAAGTGAGTTTATCAAGTAAAAGTTCAACTGAGACACACCTTTACTATAAAGTTGAGCTAACAAATAATTGTTTTAGGTGGTTATATTGTTAAATTTCAAATAAATGTACAGTTAGTTGCCCTCTGCACATTCATGTTTCCGTGTATCGGGTTTTGAAATGCAGCTGATTTGACCGTCAAAGTGCATTTATTAAGGAAAAGTTAAACCGAGACACACATTTACTATAATTTCGAGCAAACAAATAATTGTTTTTAAGTGTTAATCTAGTTAAATTCTTGTTAAAGTCCTCCCGTGCACGGTCTCGCAGCCACCATTTGGCAACCGATCGATTTTTGGCACAACACCGACCCACATTTCCGGGTCGTCAGCGGTAACGTATAATAAATGCGACGTATACGGCGAAGCGACATGTTTATGGATTTTTCCACATTATTACATATTTGGACTGATGCGACTTATAGGGTGGTGCGACGTGTACGGTGGAAAACACGGTATCTGCTGTCCAGATGTAGAAAGAACAGACTAAAAAACTCAATCATCCCTGTAGCAATCAGGCTTCTCAATGAACAGTGATGATCTCTGTACTGTTAATTTAATGTCTTAATGTCTTGTCTAGTATAGATGTTTTGTGCGTCTTCTGACTGCGAAACAAATTGACCCTCGTGGATAATATTCTTGAACTTGTTTAAGTCAGGATGTGCCGTCTGTTTCTCAGAATTGTCCCAATGTGTAAAAAGTGGAAGCTGGACATTAAAGCTAGTTAAACATTTATAAAAAAATAAAATAAAAATCTAAAGTAGGCGGCTATGACAAGAACACTGAAGGGAAAGGAAGCAATGGAGAAAGTCCAGTCTGACACTAAGAACACTTGCATGTGGAAAAATACAAAGTATGGGATCAAAGTGATGATAGCAATCAAGTAGTAAATGTGATGCAGTAAATGAAGAAAGCTCAGAGGCTGATATGTTCATTCTTTATTGATTTAAAACAAGAGGAACATGCTTGAACTCCAAACCAATCCAAAAATAAAACAGCAAATGAAAGAATGGAAAATACTGACGGAAGATAGAAAAATAATCAAGTATCTTACAGCCTCGACTAGTTTTGTCCTGAACTTTTTTTTGTTTTGTTGCTGACACTTAGTTGCTACAGTTTGATTAGACGGTAAGTAGGACAGAAGAGACCGTTTAATGAGAACAAAGCTGTTAGGTCTTCATCAGAAGTCGGACTGTCGTCACAAACATACATTTATTTGATAAGGCTCAAACAGCGATCCTGTCCACGTCTGCTGCTCAGGAAACCAGCAGAACAACACCAAATACGATCGCTGCCTTCCGATCCAGGAGAATTGTTTGTGTTTATTTCATGTGTAACAAGAAGTACATTTTAAAGACAAACCCCACATAAAAGCCTCCCCCTTTCTCTGCCAAAAAACATGAAAAAAAATAAAAACACTTGGTCTTTAAGGCTAGAGTAAAATTTTACATCTTTATAGGCAAAAATTCTAATATTTCCTCCCAACATTTCTTTTACCTGCACGCAAACACAATTTCTTCATTCAACGTGGCATCTGCAGGAGTTATGACGCCATCGCGTCAAGTTAAATCGTAAAACCTTTTGCTGGCATTTCACATCTTCTCACAAAGCGGTTACAGAAACCTCCTGCTGCACTCGGCACCGAAGAGTGCAAGACACATTCGTCAGATCGTGTCATTAATGCAGAATAATGCACAAAGAGTGACTGGGGGTGTGGATGAGAGGATATGTAACATCCGTGTTGATAATGGCCTTGTTTCCACGCAAACTTTAACATTTCTCATTAAAACGATTCACAATCATGGCTAAGTTGTTATTTACGTTAGCTGTTTAAATCAAAAGACGGTGAAATGTGTTGATTGTTGCGTTAAAAGGAACTGTTACGGTGCTTCAAGAGCAGCGGAGACAATTTTGTTGTTAATTTAAAAAATGGGGGAATACGTACTAAAAACTGTGGCTTCGCTGTAAAATATATGTTTGAATAAAGCACTCTGAAATTTACAAGACTAGAGATTTAAAACTGCAGGAATCCATTTTGGTCTTGGTCCTGCCCGGACTAACCACTCAAAGAACTATCTGGAACAGGTAAGACAATTTCATCTAAGAATTTATGAAAATGTATTCAAACTAAAACCAGTCAGAAAACTTTTCTTTCCAGCTACTGCTTTTTTTTTTTTAATCCACCTAAGGTGCGAAATAAAAGGCTAGTGTGGAGAAGTTTTTCAAACTCTTTATATTTCAAATGACAATTTTGTTTGTCGTGAGCACTGCTGTGATGTCATAACCAAATGATCATTTAAATGAGTAAACGCAAAATAGGATACACTTAAATTATTGTAGCTACACTTAACATTTGTTTTGTTTAGTAATATTTCCGTTTTTAATCAAATTTTGAAAATCGATAACTGTTAATAACAGGCCTCCATGCCTTTATTGAAAGTAAAACAACCTTCATACGGCTAAAATTTGACACAGAATTTACGCTTAATCTAAAGTCGAAAAATAAAAAGTTGGTTCCAAGTTATTTAGAAAAAATGTCTTAAAACATTTTAAAATGCAAATCTTTATCATTTTAAACAAATGAGGGGTTTAACTATAAAGACGGTTATAATCACATTCATCTGGGGGGAAAAAAAGGTATCACTCTGAATTTTTATCCAATCGGCACTCTTAAAATAAAAGGAAATTAAAGAACAAGGTTTGGCATTAGCACCTGAAGTCACGTTTGTGCATTTCAGACAACATGGAAACAGCAGACGTTGTGAAAAACGTGCATTCAGTAGTTCTTATGAACATAAGGCATTGTTACTGTTTATAATCAGGGTGCAGGGCTGTTAGTTCAGATTGTGCAAATGCGTCACATATTAAAGAGAATCAGGGAACTCAAACTGGTGAAATAAAGCGGTTGTTGCATCTTTCTACATTTTTACACTGTAAACTTTTTTTCCCACCGTACGTTCTGACACTTCAGCTCATCGCCAAATCCAACAAGGTGGTATCAGATAATCCTATGGGTAGCAACATGGTACTATTTTCTTTGGCAGTAGTGGTTTCTTTACAGCCATTGAAAGAAAGAAAAAAATGCATTAAACTATTTTTTTTTTTAATTTTCACATTTTTTAGGCGAGTCACAGTCCCAAGTAGGACAAATTTTTTTTTAACAAATGGTGAGCTGAGCAAAGCCCATCAACTTGACGTCATCCGGAAGTTCAGATCCGTCGATTCCAGAAGCCTGTAAAAATAAATAAAATAAATAAAAACGTAAACATAAGAAAATGAAAGGCAGTAGAAGTTCCAAAATGTATTGGTTTACTTGGATTTTTGGAGTTACCGGTATTTAAATAAAAATAAAAAGTTAATGTGATTTAAAACATCCACACAGCATCATTTCAGTTATTACCTTAAAAAAAACTATTAAAGTTCACTCTATAAAACTGCAAACTTCCACAATGTTGGGTCAGTAAAAGAAAAGCTAAAGTTTTGCTTGATAAAATTAAAAAACTCCACTCACCAGTTTGAAAGTGACATTTTTACTGGGTTGAGGCTCATCAACTATTTTCTGCAAATTTGCAGCAACTGAAAAGATAAATTATTGCTTTAATGTGACGAGAAAACCAAAATAGCAATATTTAAATAAATTGTTTTCAACAAAAGTATCTGTCCTAAATGGGGGTTCCTAAAAGAAGTCTAGTTTCTATTCAGTTGCGTGGGGGAGGTTTTTCTGTTTATATTATTTAATAGTCATTCTCTACAATAATTAATGTTCAAACTCAGTTTAGTCCCTGCCTTTAGGTAGATTTGAGCATCCTATAATTACATCCAGTGCAGCTTCTTTAACGTTTAAAACGGTTGATGAGCTGTAAAAAAATTGTGCAAACCAAACAGGCAGCGAGATCCCATCGATGACTTCAAATTATTTCTACGTTAACGATCAGAGCCAAGACTTAAGTTGGGCAAAAAGGCTCTCCAACCTCAAAGACCTGAGAATTATTAAAAAACATTAGGGATGCACGACATTATCGGCATGTATCGTACCGGCCGATATTAGCGATAACGTTAAAGATCGGACATTGGTCATTCCATCAAAATAACTCACCGATATAAAAGGCGCCGTTTTTGTATAACCCAGTGACAAGGACGCCTGCAGCGCCAGCACGTTATGACGTCACACGCGCCCACCTGATCTGATCACGGCAGGAGAGGAAGAAGTGAAAATGTCGGTGGTGTAGAAGTTTTTTTTTTTTTTGAAGAATCGGAAACTGACAGCAGAACTGCTATTTGCAATGACTGCTCAGCGTCAATGATGCGAGGAGGAGCGAAAACGAAATCAATCAGCACTTCGAATCTAATTAACCATCTCAAGAACCACCATTCTGACCAGTACGATGAGTTCATGGTAGCTAGAAAGGAAAGCGAGGGCATGGTCGACCGCGGAGAAACAAAACCTCACCAGCAGTCCATTTTACAAGCTTTAGACTAAACAAGGAAATGCAGCCACAACCACCTGAGGGCAAAAGGCATTGATCAGAAATTGATGGAGTGTATTGATCTGGATAACCAACCATTTTCATTTGTTGAGGGTAACAGATTCTGAAGATTTTGGACCACGTTGAGCATCGCTACATCGTCCCCAGTTGGAGATATTTTTCCGATGTAGCCTTGCCCGGGTTGCAAGCCAATCATTTCCAATGTCATTAAGAAGCTAATAGCTGATAGCACTTGGGTGAGTTTGACATTTGGACGTCAAGCGTTAGCCCCATTAGCATGAATAGTCTTACGGCACAATGGATAGACAAAAACTTAATCGAAACAACATTAAAAGTTACATCATTTTCAGCCCCTTTTTTAGCATCTGCATTTGGTAGCAGACCAAATTGACAAACACCATGCAGAATAAAGTAGTATTTTAATTCCACAGCAGAGAAAGCTATGTAGTCTCTGTAAGTAGGTCTAGGGGGGAAAAATATTGGTATTGGTATCGGTTATCAGCCATATAAGTTTTAACATATTTGCATATAGAATATTGGCCAAAAATCCAATATCGTGCGCATCCCTATAAAACATCTCATGAGACTTGGAATGTTCTGATCCCAACTCAAGCACAAAATAGAGGTTCTACTGAAAAGTTTTCTTTTGACCAAATGGTGCATCTCTGCTCCCGATGGCAGTTTAACATCAGCTGCAGGACATGAAGAAGAATCTTGGCTCAACTGTGCTTACATGCATTTTAGATTCTAACACCTTTATGTTGAACATTTCACACAATCCTAATGTGCCTAAAGTTGGATAAATATTCAAAACAGATGAAATATTCTCCTTTCAGCTACAAAACTGTTATGAACTGAAAGACTATCTTCAAAAAATAAGAAAAGAAAAATTGCCACCACAGAGGAAGTATGTCCTCGGATGTAATTTGCTTTTTTTTTTAAGATATCCTGAACTCTAAAATGCTCCCAGTGTCCTTTCTTAGCGTCACTGTACATTGTAATTATTTTAAAGTATGCAATGCTGAAAGTTTAACTGATCAACAACAGAGCATCTAAAATAACTGAAGAGATTTGAACACAAAAAAAGACAACTTTCATGTGTTTTCGACGCAACCTGAGCAACATCACAGCCACAACAGTGACTTATTTAACTGATTTAAACTTTTATAAAACCTAGAGTGTGTTGTTTACAACTATTAGCTGAAGGAAAATCAAGTATTTAAAGATTTAAAGTGGTAACAGAGACAACAGTTGATTGTTACATATCTAATGGAGGCATGAAAAGAAAAATCCCCTCTTGTAGGAACTAGGAATGTGCGATATATGGTACACAGTAGAAACGACAGACATTTAGCCTACGATAGAGATCCGTCTTCTAACGGCTAGCCGCAGTAATGCTGTGTCTGATGTAAAATCAGAGTTGTCAGTTTATTAGTTATTTTTTTTAGTTGAAAACTGTGCGTACGTGGTGTTAAAGTATTTTCTTCGAGAGCTAAGTAGCGAAGCTACAAGCTAACTAGGGCCAGCTTGCCGTAGTGTTGCCGTATTCTGACGCATGCGCAAAACGCTGTGTTCCGTCAAAAGTTTTGTTTTTTCCCGTCGAAAGTTAAAGTAAGCGTTGATCAGCTTTAGAGAAACCTGCTCTCTGATCTGTGAAAGAACGCTGTGTTGTGTGATTTTACTGCGAGACTCTCTGGTCAAAGCCACAGAGGAAACTGGTCGCCATTTTGTGTCAGCTCTCCTTAAAGCAGAAGGAGACGCCCACTGGAGGGTTGGAGGGTGAAGTGTTTCAGTGTGCACTTGTTGATCTGTTGCTGTTCATTTCTTATGTGAGAATACTGAATACTGTTAAGAGTTAACATTCTTACATGTGATATCTTTGGCACTGTTTTACAAGAAAGAGCCTAATACTTGATTTGTTTTGTATTTAAAAACTCTCTGGACCAGTAGTGGAATTTTCTTAATTGAGATTATTATGTGATATAGCAGTTTTCAAAATAAATGATGGCAAAAGGACACCCTATGTTTTTTTTTTCATTCCTATTGCAAGTTTTATACCAAAAACATATGGTGATGCATATCGTTATCGCCACCCTTCACAATACATATCGTGATATGAATTTTATATGAATTTTATGCCATATCGCACATCCCTAGTAGGAACTTATGTAGGACAAAAAATACATATATTTTATAAAACTGTAAAATAATAATAAAAAAGAGACGTCTGCAGAAAGTCTGATCACAGTTTGCAATAAAAGCTTGCTCGACTCAGGTAAACATGTAATTTTCAACTTTCAGATGATTCTGCGTTCTTAGAAAACTTAGTACAACTCACCTATTACCAGGTCCTTCCCATCCACCAGACCTGCTGACACCAGCTCCTGAGACACACCATCTGCTGTGTCTGCAAACCCAAAACACGAGACCAAACCCATGTCAGGCGGAGGGAAACCGTTGAGCCGCTTAATAATTCTCGAACAATTTTGCAGTCTTCGTGCAAATGAACACTTGACTGCATCAGCTCGTTCTGTTCTCAGCACCAACGTTTTTGAAAATTAGCTGACTTAGACTATTTTTTGTGCACTGAAACAAAAATGTTACCAAAGAGGTTTAAAAAAAAAAAATGTGTGAAAAGTCTGTTTCTTTTGCTTGTTATCCATACCTGATCAGCAAATCTCAACCTTTAGGACACTTTATTAAACACCTAATGAAACAGCAACAACTAGCACATTTTACCTTTACTGCTATTAGCTTGTTTTATTTGTGGATAAACACCGAAGAATTAAAGTTTCACAGTAGAAAAGAAAATTTGTACAATGAAATTCCCCATCAGATGTTTTTTTTTTTAAACTTGACAGTTTTCTTAAAATAACGACAGAAAAAAAAAAGTTCCACTTACCCCTTCCTGGCATAAATTCAAAGCGGATATCATTTAGCTCCTTTTTTGAATTTCTGGGGGGAAAAAAGGACAGAAAAATGTAAAAATGACAAATCCTGTTCTGATTTTCTTATTTTTAAAGCCCTGACAAGAAGTCACATACCTTAGCCTTAATACCAAACTAATCGGAGATTGGACGTCGCCTGAAGCTGTTGGGATCTGTTGGAACAAATTTATCCAATTAATTTCACAAAGGTCGGGCAATGTATGCATTTAGGAAATCTAAGGCTTTAAAAAATGTGCCTAGAAATGACAGCATGATGGAAAGATGTGGTGGCACATTTGGTAGAGATGTTGCCTCTCTGTGAGATGGTCACCGGATCAAATCCTCGTCCGGGACATTTCTGGGTGGAGTTTGCATGTTCTCTCCGTGCATGTGTGGGTTTTCTCCGGGTACTCCGGTTTCCTCCCACAGACCAAAAACATGTATGTTAGGCTGATTGGTAACTCTAAATTGACCCTAGGTGTGAGTGAGAGAGTGAATGACTGTCTTGTTTGTCTCCATGTGTCCCTGTGATTGACTGGAGACCTGTCCAGGGTGTCCCCCGCCCCTCGCACAGTTTCTGCTAGATATGGGCACCAGTGATCCCTGGATGGATGGATGGATGGAAAGATGTGGTGACTAGCCTGAGCAGGAACACTGAGTGGTGGGGGCTCAGTCAGGGCCGTTGGTTGGGGGTTGACTTGCGTCGGCTGCAGTGGAGGTTGACCTGCGGCTGGAGGCTGGAGGTGACTACTTAAGGGCTCGGGAGTCTGAAACATCTGAGAGAAAATATGTTGCTCAGTCCATCTTTAAGATATCATCAAAACATTTCATAACTACAGCATTGAAATAAAAATTTGAAAGAAAATAACAACTTAAACTGACTTTAATGCTTTGAGTACCGTAATTTTCGGACTATTGAGCACACCTGAATATAAGCCACGCCCACTAAATTTAAAAAGAAAAACAATTTTGCACATTTTGCCACACTTGTGTATAAGCCGTGAGTGTCCAATTTGTAACATGAGATATTTACGCAGAAAGATGTTACACAGCAAGTTTTTTTCTGTACTTTTAATGTACCGGTAACATACACAAAAATGTACAGTAAATGTTTTTTTTTTTTTAATAGTGCCTGTAACACAGCTGGTTAAAATAAAGAAATACAGTAGCTTCATTAGTAGTAATGAAACTTTCCACTGCGACCTGCTCGGTAATTTCATTGATATTTTTTTATTTTATTTAACTTTTATTTATACAGGCAGTCTCATTGAGCCATGAGGACCCAACCCCCAACAGAGACGTTCGCTGGGCAGCTATGTGAGCATCTGGGTGCAACGAGGCTTAATGTTTTGGCGGCATGAAGCTCATTAGCCTGTCAAAAACAAAACAAAACAAAACCCATAAATTAGCCGCAGCATTGTATAAGCTGCGGTGTTATAAGCTTGTGAAAAATGTTGCAGCTTATAGTCTGGAAATTACGGTACTTCAACAGAGATTGGGTTCATTTGTGATTTTCATCAACATCTAAACTGTTTTTAATGAAATTTCACAACCATGTCTCTTGACTTTGTATTTAGCAACACATGACAATGCCAATAAAACATTCATGACTTATTTATATTTTCCTTCCAATGAGCCTGATTTTCTTGTAATCTTTTGAAGTGATCTTTATTAATCGATTTCAAGCTTTCTGAAGTTTTTCCAAAAGGTTTTTTTTGGACTTTGGCTGCTTTTTCATTAATCAGTCCATGTACCTGACATTTTACCTGCAGCTTTAAAAAAAAAAATGGACTATTTAAATTTATGTCTTAAAAAAACGAAAGTTACGTATGTAACTACGGTTCTATGAATCCCGGATGACCGCCAGAGGGCGGTGCTGAAAGCACTGAATGTTCCCTTCGCGCATGCGCTGATTCGAGTAATAATACCAACGGAGTCACAGGTGTGACACGGATGACCAATCAGAGGCTATATAGCCTGATGTCATCCGCTGCTCTGCTCCTACAGAATCTTCTCGCGAAACGCAAGGATTCTGAGTGACGGAGAAGCTCTGGCGGTCATCCGGGATTCATAGAACCGTAGTTACATACGTAACTTTCGTTCTATTTCATCCCTCCTGACCGCCAGAGGGCGGTGCTGAAAGCACTGAATGACTAATATCAACGATGTCACAAGGAATCCTAACACCTACCTCACTGAGGAGGCCCAGAGGACCCTTGTAGAAGAACCTGGCCCAGGGGATGAGGGGTGGCCACGTTAACTCTATAAAATCTGGTGAACGTGCTTGGGGAAGCCCATGATGCAGCAGCACATATTGCTTCCAGCGGAACCCCTCTCAGGGCAGCCCAGGAAGCGGAGACGCTCCTGGTAGAGTGAGCCTTCAAGCCGACCGGCAGGGAGCCGGGCCCTGCAGCATAGGCGTGGCAGATGACGTCCACGATCCAGTGGGAGAGGCGCTGTTTGGAAAGAGGACAGCCTAACCTAGGGCCTCCATAACACACAAACAGCTGGTCTGAATGTCTTATCACGGCAGTAGCTGCAACATATGCCTCCAGTGCCCTTACCGGGCACAATAATGCAGACCCCTCACCAGGCGCAGGCTGAAAACGTGCCAGCCTCAACGGTTGGTTAGAGTGAGATAACACCTTTGGTACGAATGCAATGTTTGGCCACAAGGTAACACACGAGCCCTCAGGGCCCCACCTGAGACATGAGGGGCTGATTGAGAGAGCATGTAGCTCGCTGACCCTCTTTGCTGAGGTAATAGCCAACAAAAAAGCCGTCTTACATGAAAGCCACTTGAGGTCCACCTGCGACAGAGGCTCGAAAGGAGGACGGCACAGAGCTTCGAGAACCAAGGGAAGGTCCCAACCTGGTGCTCGTGGAGCTGTCGGCGGGTGTGACCTACGGGCACCACGCAGAAAAAGAGAGACTAGATTATGGCTCCCTACCGTACAGCCATCAATGCCAGCGTGATTAGCTGATATTGCCGCTACATAAACTTTAAGCGTCGAAGGACAGCGACCCTTACCAAGTAGAGACTGGAGAAACTCCAGAATGGTGGGTATTGTACAGGAGACTGGATCCTTGTTGTGATCCGAACACCATTGGGAAAACAGGCGCCACCTGTTTTCGTACTGCTGACGAGTAGAGGGTGCCCTGGCGCCCAGGATGGTGCATCTGACGGGGCTCGAAACTCCAGTCAGCTGCTGTCCTAGCCTTGCAGTGGCCACACCCACAGCCGAAGACGTTGAGGATTGGGGTGCCATATCAGTCCCCCCAACTGAGACAGCAAGTCCCTTCTGGTCGGAAGACACCATGGGACGCCCTGACATAGACTTCGAAGCAGTGGGAACCATGGTCGCGCTGGCCAATATGGAGCCACCAGCAGCATCCTGTGGCCCTCCTCGAGGACTCTCTGAAGGGTTGGCCAAATTAGAGAAAGGGGTGGAAAGGCATACAGAAGGACCCTTGGCCAAGGATGAGCCAATGCGTCCTGGCCTAGCGCACCCGACGCCCCCGTAAGAGAGTACCATAGGGGACACTGAGTCGACTCTTCCGTCGCAAACAGGTCTATCTCTGCCTGACCAAAACGGTCCCAGATCATCAGCACTATGTCTCTGTGGAGGGACCACTCTCCCGGAGGGGACTCTTGGCAGGAGAGAAAATCTGCGACCTGATTGTGTCGCCCTGGCAAGTACGCTGCCCGCAGGGTGGACAGGCGAGGAGAGGCCCATTCCAGGAGCTCTCTGGACACACTCAGAAGTTGTGCTGACCTGGTGCCCCCCTGATGGTTGATGTGGTAGACAACAGAGGTGTTGTCTGACCGAACAAGTACATGCCTCCCTTCCAGGTGAGGCAGGAAGTGCCTGAGTGCCAAGTGCACTGCACGCAGCTCCAGCACATTTATATGCTTGGAATGGTCTCTTTGACCCCAGCGGCCCTGAACCGCTCTGCGTTGCCATACAGCCCCCCATCCCATGGAGCTGGCATCCGTCGTGACCACTTCCCTGCGACACACTACCACTCCCATGGGGACACCCCTGGACAAATAATCTTCGTCCCTCCATGGAGTCATGGCATGAAGACATGACCACGTCACTGCAAGCTTGCGATGCCTGTGCAGCCTGGCATCTAGGTGAAAGCTGTTGAGCCACCTCTGCAAGGGGCGAAGTGACAGCAGGCCTAAGGGCACCACCCGAGTGACTGATGTCAGCTTGCCGAGTAGTTGTAAGAAGGCAACATAGGGGAGCTGCTTGCCCAGCCTGAACCGATTGACCAGCTGGAGTATGCCGGCCACCCTTTGAGCGGATGGGCGAGCTCTCATTGAAGATGAATCCAGAACCACCCCAAGAAAGGTGGTCGTCTGGGAAGGGATCAGGCAGCTCTTCTCCAGGTTGACATTGAGGCCCAACTGGGACATATGAGCGAGCAGGCGGTTTGTGTCGTGAAAGGCACAGGCCTGAGACGGGGCGCACAGAAGCCAATCGTCCAAGTACGGCAGAATCTTCACTCCGCAGGCCTGCAGAGGAGAGAGGGCTGCCTTCACGCACCGAGTGAACACCCTTGGGGAGAGAGAGAGCCCGAATGGAAGTACCCGGAACTGCCAGTGGTGATCCCAATAGGCAAACCTGAGAAAGCGGCGATGTTCTGCCGCAATAGGCACATGAAAATATGCATCCTTCAGGTCTACAGACGTGAACCATTCCTCCCTCGTGACAGCTTGAAGGACTTCTGCTGTTGTGAGCATGTGGAAGGGCAGCTCCTTTAGGTACTGGTTGAGTCCCCTCAGGTCTAAAATGGGACGAAACCCGCCCGTCTTCTTTTGCACAAGGAAGTAAGTCGAGTAATAGCCCCTGGGTTGTTGCAGAGGGTCCACTGCCTCTATTGCGCCCTTGGCCAGGAGGACGGAAAGTTCCTGGTCTAGTGCTTGAGCTTTCACCGGGTCGGTGATTACAGTCATCTTGACCCGGCCTGAGATACGAGGCCGCCGTCGGAACTGTAGCCGGTAACCATGGGTCAGAGTGGCAACCACCCATGGGTCCACGGCGTGAGCAACCCAATAGCTGAGCTGCTGGTGGGAGAAATATCCGACGGTCGGCCTGATGGCATCACCGTCTCCCTCCACGACCCCTAGGGGCCGTGGGGGGGCGGCAGCCAGGGTCCCTGGTCCGAGCCTGCCCAGCTGGTCGGTGGACCAACCCACGAAAGCTCCTGCTGGGCCTTTGCTGAACCGCATGAGGGTAAGGACCACCCGGCCGGTTATGACCCCCAGGCGGCGGCTGCATGCTGGAGCCAGCCGACAGGCGCCTTGGATGCCGAGGAGGTGGAGGGGGGCATTGGCCTGCTAAGGCTCGAAAATTGCTGCCTTCTCTGTCGTGCCTGGACAGTCCGTTCCAGTGCTTCCAAGGCAGCCGAACCGAACAACTCCCCCGGCACCACTGGGACATTACGGAGGGCTCTACGGCATGGCTCAGTCAATGCTGACTGCGCTAACCAGACCTGTCGGCGAGCTTGGACCAAGGAGGACATCACACGCCCAAGCTCCCTCGTCATTAGTGCAAAGGCCTGAAGCGCTGCATCGTTAAAGCCCATTGCTGCTGTCGCACCACTAGTCCCCTGAAGGGACGCGGAGAGGGCAAGCATTAGGTGTGCCAAGGAATTACCTAGGCGGCCAGCACGCGCTCCGGCGGCATAGGCTCTGCAGAGGAATTCATCCGTGACACGACACTGAGCTCGTGGGCACCGAACATGACTGCGCAGAGCTTCATCTGGTGACACGATGAGAGAGGCAACAGCAGGTTCTATCGCTGGCATGCGATCCAAGCCTGCAGCAGCCGGCTCATGCATGGCCGCCAACACTCTGCCATCTGCAGAGAGGCGCGCAAAGGCCTTGGGGTCCCGCCAGCAACCATGCAACTCCCTCAGGAACTCCTCTGATGGAGGGACAGAAAAGGAAGGAGGGGTCAGTCTGCGCCTGAAGAAGGCACTTCCAGGGGTGGACGCCTCTGGTTGCGGGACGTCCAGCTGCAGTTGTCTCAGGGCCATACGCATGATGTCCTGCATCGAGCCGTCACCCGACCCACTAACTGCACTCCGAGAAGAAGAGAGTGAAGCTGTCTCTGAGACTCGAGATGAATGCCCGTCCTCCTCACCTAAAAAGTGAGAGGCAGAGGCAGCCAAGGATAGCACATCCTCCTCCACAGCCAGTTCAGGCATGGGTGGGGAGGAGAGTCCAGTTGCTGCCACTGGTTCAGTTCCCAGTTGGTGTACCTGAAAAAGGGACTTCATCTCCGCTAATTCAGCGGAGAGCTGCTCCACCCTTGTGGAGAGGCCCCTATCAGACCTGGCTCGCTTCTTCCCAGGAGGGGCCACAGAGACTGCGGCCTCAGTCCGGCGCTTCGAGCGCCTAGGTGGAGCCTCCTGCCCAGAAGGCGGGAGGTCATCGCCGAGTTTGGGGCGAAACTGGGCCAGCCGGGCCACCCTCACAGCATGCGACATGAAGCTGCAATTCATGCAGGGGTTCTCTGACAGGGCATCCACCAGATGGTCATGTCCAAGGCAGGCAGGACACAGGTCGTGACCGTCATCTATCTGGAGCATGGCTCCACAGACTGTACAGCAGTGAGAGCCGTCCATGCTCCTTACCCAGCTATGCCCAAGATATTCAGAGGGGCTAGCACCACTAGCTCAGCTGGTAAAGAGGACAATTGGGAGAGGGGGCGCGAACGCTCGCCTTCACCAATCAAAACAAGGCCAAAACTCAGAGAGGCTAGCACCGCTAGCTCAGCTGGTAAGAGGACAATTGGGAGAGGGGGTGAGAACACTCGCCTTCACCAATCAAAACAAGGCCAAAACTCAGAGAGGCTAGCACCGCTAGCTCAGCTGGTAAAGAGGACAATTGGGAGAGGGGGCGCGAACGCTCGCCTTCACCAATCAAAACAAGGCCAAAACTCAGAGAGGCAAGCACCGCTAGCTCAGCTGGTAAGAGGACAATTGGGAGAGGGGGCGCGAACGCTCGCCTTCACCAATGAAAACAAGGTTAGAACTCAGAGAAGCTAGCACCACTAGCTCAACTGGTAAAAGAGGACAATTGGGAGAGGGGGTGAGAACACTCGCCTTCACCAATTAAAACAAGGTTTGAACTCAGAGAGGCTAGCACCACTAGCTCAACTGGTAAAGAAGACAATTGGGAGAGGGGGCGCGAACGCTCGCCTTCACCAATTAAAACAAAGTGAAACTCAGAGAGGCTAGCACCGCTAGCTCAGCTGGTAAGAGGACAATTGGGAGAGGGGGTGAGAACACTCGCCTTCACCAAATAAAACAAGGCCAGGAACTCAGCTGGCTACGTAATAAACAAACTTCGGAGCACGGTCCAACCGACCACGCGGTTGGAGGCCTCCTAACAAGCGTGAGCGGAGCGAACGCTACCGCTAACCAATAGCAAAATATAAGCAAAAAACCACTACTTACCAGTGTTAAATCACACGCATAGCAGTCATAAACAACGTCGGAGCACAGTCCAGCCGACCACGCGGTTGGAGGTCTCCTAACAAGCGTGAGCGGAGCGAACGCTACCGCTAACCAACGGCGAAATATAAGGAAAACTACTCACCGGTGTTGAATCACACACATAGTAGTCAGATGCTGTAATTTGGGAGAGGCGGAAACCGCCGTAGTTCCCAACGAAACAGCAGAAATACCTTTGAACAGGGTTAAACCGTCGCAGCCCTAGGAGGGCGAACACGCTACTCCCGCAGTCGGGCTTCCGACGACGGTAAAAAGTTCAGAAAAGGTCAAAAGGGCTGAAGCCCTGAATTGAACCGCGCGCGAGAAGAAAATAGGATCAGAGCAGCGGATGACATCAGGCTATATAGCCTCTGATTGGTCATCCGTGTCACACCTGTGACTCCGTTGGTATTATTACTCGAATCAGCGCATGCGCGAAGGGAACATTCAGTGCTTTCAGCACCGCCCTCTGGCGGTCAGGAGGGATGAAATAGAACTGGAAGAAGCCAAACAAAGACCTGACATGAACAGAGATTCATCTTGTACCGTGTGACAAGTTTTCAGTTAGCTATTTGAAATCCATTTTATTAGGGTAAGATACTATTTTATTCTCCAATTTGTTTTGTTTTTTTATATGTTCAACTAAATAAATAGGAACAAATGTGGTCTTTGTGGCAGGATAATGGTAGTAAAGTGACGAAAGATCCTATTTAAATTAGTTTTTGCTGGGTTGTCTGTAATGCATCAATAACACTGGTTAATCTCTTGAATTTAAGATCCTTTTTGTGTCTCAATGATTTACAGCCCAGCAATTTTTATTTTATATTACCTTTATTTATACAGGTAGTCTCACTAAGTCACAAGGATTCATTTTCAAGAGGCCAATAGCAATAAGTGGTTAAACAAAAACCACAAAACTCCCAAAATTGTCTAGTACTGAACTAAAAATGATAGAGAAAGCAGCCAAAGTACAAAGAAAATATACTTTTGCAGTACATTAAAGTTTCATCACACCTTCAGAACCAGTGAGGCTGAAAAAACTGTTAACTTGCTGTTTTGTAGTGAACACATGTACTGTTTGTTTTACCTGTTATTGAGTTTAAATCACTTGCATAAGAAAGCAGAATGTGTAATCCCTTGGTTATACATACGCAACATAAAAATGAGTATGTATTAAATAAAAGTAGTTTAATAGGGAAAACACTTGTTAGCTCATGTTCTTTAGATTTTACAAGATTCCATCATAATGTGTATAAAATGACCTAAACGTTACTTTTAAACCCACCTCTGAATTCTGTGGCCCTTCCTTCACTCTTGGCGACTGTTGGTGACAGAAACAACTAAGTTAGAGACAAGACGTCACAGCGACAGCTTTACAGAACTAAAAATTGCATGCTTGCATACACAGAACATACACAAATCAAAAAAGGCAAATCAAAACAAAATGGCTCACTCGTTTACACTGCTCACCGAGCTGTTCATTAGGTTTGTATTTATTTATTTATTTTTATTTTTTTTTCATTAATTTAGTTAAGATATATGAATGGGACCAGAGATAATATTTAATCAAGACTTCTAATACATTTGCACATGTTTGATATGTGATATACAATGCATGGTAATGTGACAAGTAGAGAGGCACGATATTGGATTTTTGGCCGATATCCAATATGCCGATATATTAAAACTTATTTCGCCGATAACCGATACCAATATTTTTTCCCCTAGACCTACTTACAGAGACTACATAGCTTTCTCTCTTTCTGCTGTATAATTAAAATACTACATTATTCTGCATGGTCTTTGTCAGTTTGGCCTGCTACCAAATGCAGATGCCCAAAAGGGGCTGAAAATTATGCAACACTTCAACTTGGATTATGTTTAATGTCAAATTTACTCATGACATTTACTCTCTCTAACACAATGACAAGACTCAAACAGTTCAAATTTGTAAATTTTCACAACTCTAAACTCAACGGCACACGTGACGTCATAACGTGCTAGCGCTGCAGGCATCCTTGTCACTGAGTTATCATATATGGTGCTGTTTTTGTATCCCTTTGTTTTTGTATATGGATTTGTCCATCCATCAATTCATCCATTTTCTTCCGCTCATCCGGGGTCGGGTCGCGGGGGTAGCAGCTTAAGTAGTGAGGCCCAGACTTCTCTCTCCCCAGCCACTTGGGCCAGCTCCTCCAGGGGAATCCCAAGGCGTTCCCAGACTAGCCAAGAAACATAGTCCCCCCAACGTGCCCAGAACACCTCACCAGGGAGGCGTCCAGGAGGCATCCTAACCAGATGCCCGAGCCACCTCAACTGGCTCCTCTCGATGTGGAGAAGCAGTGGCTCTACTCTGAGCTCCTCCCTGAAGACCGAGCTTCTCACCCTATCTCTAAGGGAGAGTCCAGACACCCTGCGGAAAAAACTCATTTTGGCCGCTTGTATCCGTGATCTCGTTCTTTCGGTCACAACCCAAAGCTCATGACCATAGATGAGGGTAGGAACGTAGATCATCCAATAAATTGAGAGCTTCGCCTTTTGACTCAGCTCTCTCTTCACCGCGACAGACCTGTACAGCGCCTGCTTGACTGCAGAAGCTGCACATATCCGTCTATCGATCTCATGCTCCATTTTCCCCTCATTCGTGAACAAGACCCCGAGATACTTGAACTCTTCCACTTGGGGCAGGAAATCCTCCCTGACCCGGAGAGGGCACTCTACCCTTTTCCGGCTCAAGACCATGGCCTCGGATTTGGAGGAACTGATCCTCATCCCGGCCGCATCACACTCTGCTGCGAACCGCTCCAGCGAAAGCTGTAGATCACGATTTGATGAAGCCAACAGGACTACATCATCTGCAAAAAACAGAGAAGCAATCCTAAGGCCATTTGTGTGTGTGTGTATATATATATATATATATATATATATTATATATACAATATAATATATATAAACAGTGCCTTTTACAGTATACTGTATCTGTGAGTTATTTTTGATGAAATGGCCGATGTCCGATATTTAACTTTATCGCTAATATCACCGTTAACGATACCATGCCGATAATATTGTGCATCCTTAGTGACAAGTATTAACCAATCAAGATTAGAAGATTTTTTTCATTTCAGTCTCTGGTTGATCAGTGCAACTTCCACTTTTCCACGTCAATAAGCCAAATTGAATTATAGGTGATGTTAAATTATATCAAGATTATTTTCAATTATTTGGTTTAATAGCAGAATTTGTCAGACATTTGATTTTCTCCATTATCAGAAAAACAATTAATAACGCTTGTTCTCAACTAAAATTTACACTACGGTTTGAACAATGATAAGCCACACCAATAAAACCTCTTTTGACCTGTTTGGGGAGGACCTCAGTAGCACCACGAAAGACATCAGACACCAGAGTTTTTTTATTGTCAGGTCTTCTAGATCCTGTAAAGTCATGCTTTTGTCACTTATTTGAAAAACTGGGAAGCCCAAATCAAGACCCAAGTGTACTCAGTTTCTGAATAGTTATACTGTGACGCAAAAGACTTGTTGACACCACTGTCGTTACTGCATACCACCTCCATTAAGAAGGGAATGGTCTGCAGCAAGGTTAAAATTGAAGGAACCTCTCTACCATCCAAGTTACTGTCAGCACATGGCTCTGAGGGTCTAACAGAGTGTGTTCTTTCTTCTTCCCATGATGCATCATGCTGCTCTACCTTTACAAAAAGAGACAAGGGAACTAGTTCACAAAACCTAGACAGGGGGTTAAGAAGGGATATTCTGACAATCCTGGCTTTACTTCTCCTTGATTTGCATTTACAAAAGGAGTAGCAGATAAGTTACCATGGTAACATATTCAGTGTAGTTAGTCTGCTCCTGGGTTGTGTTACACTCCCATGTAACCTGGCATAACTGTTGAGTTGCTCTGACCCACTTATCTACCCATGTAGGTATAGATGCCATTGTAACAACAATATTCATCTGAAATATGAATGGTCTTAATGTTGTGGGTGTATCTGCTTTAATATAACAAAAATATAAACACAAGTGAGCTGTAAACGAGTGATCCCTTATAATTTAACAACTGTAGTTGTACTTTTAGTAGGAGTAGCAGAGAAGCAGTGTAAGGTTAATTTAAACCAAACGATGGCTACTATTATGTAGTTTAACGGACAATCTAATAAACACAAGTCAAGTTTGATTGAACTCCAAGAAAAGTAGAGAGAAACAGAAGCATTTCAGGCTAAATGAAGACAAACCGGCTATCCTGTCTGGGCATCAGCTCAGGAAGATGAACTTGCATTGTGCAGCCACCGTGCACAGTGCGTAAATAAATTGATTAAATTAAGTTGAGATTTTTACTTCAGCGTTTAAATATTTTACGCATCAATTCATAGACGGTTGTAACGTCAAAAAATTAAGAGCAGGAGTTCAGTTTGTCAACACAAAGCCAGTTGCAAACAGAATAAAAGAAGATGAAAGGCAAATTTGAAGTGTTTGCTGGTCATTATTTCTCTGTTTAGATTATTACAAAGCCAATGAGTAGTTTTCCCTGTTTTCATTAAATGTGGTCAGTATAAAACTAGTAATGGATTTGAAGAAATAATAATAATAATACAGATGGCTTCCAGGACAGGTAGCTCTCACAGGCAAAGTAACTTCTATGTTCAATCCCAAAAAAATACTGTATATTTTACACTTAATGTTAATTAAAAAAAACAAAAAAAAAAACAGGAAGACAGAAAGCAGAAATGTTATATCAAGTGCTTCAGAGACCAACTTGCCCTAACATTTGTGCAACATCTAAGTAAAATCATATTTATTTGTTACTTTGAAAGTAGCTTGAAACAATACTGGAGTTTCTGAGAAACCAAACGGCACATTTTTTTGTTTTGAACAAAGTCGCATCAGCATTTTGCTTTAAGGTTCCACATCACAATCCAACATCTAGATAACCAGATACGCTCAAGGTGTGCTCTTCACTTTGATGACTGCCTTATTACTGATTACTGTAGATAATAACCTAAACAACTAGCCTAGTCTGAGCCAAGTTTTTTTTTAATGCACATCTTAACATGAAATTTAACTGGTTTAAACACTTGAATCAGCAAAGGACCTCATACCAGACTTTGTACGCATGACAATAACCCTATGCAATACTTACTCTGGTGGGACAGCTAACTCAAAATACATGACGCAAAAGTAGCTCGTTCATCCGTTTTATGTTATTTGACAAAATTTAAAAGAATAGTCCAGACCATTTCAAGTGTGGTTATGTGAAAATTTAGGAATATTTATTATCTTAAACGTATACACTGTTATTTACATCTAAGTCTGGTTATTTAAAAGCTCAAACAGCAGCAGATAGCTGTAGCATTTATTAGAGCCTGACCAATATATCGGTAGGGCCAATATAGGTGTTTGGGGACATAACATTAGTGATAATTGTCTCATTATGCGCCGATATAAGCAATGGGAACAAGTCTTTATTTGCAAAAGGCGCAATTATACAACATATCAAACAGAGAGTGCATGCGGACTACTTTCAAGTCATGGCCGTTCACTTTAACTTTCACTTTCGGCACAGCCGAAGCAGCGAGCAGTACTGTGTAGTGCATTTTGCTGAAAAGAGCATTATAAGTTTATTTTACCTGATCTGTAAAATAATAATAATAAAAAAACTATAATAAATTATCTTCAGTCCTCCAACCCGCTTGTCATTAGCTACGTGCCTCTCAAGTTAGCAAGCTAACGTTTAGCATAGGCTATAGGCCTTGTAAAACTTAATCCAGAACAATAAATCTAACAGAGATAAAATATATCGGTGTTAGTAACGTCATCTTTGTTGTACTCAATGAAATGCATTGTTGGTCTGAAATTTTTACTTCTCTACAAAAAATAAAAATAAAAATGCTGCTGCGGTCAGTACTAACTGGGCCTTCACCATACGTGACAGACTGTTGAAGAAATGAACAGGGAAGAGTGTTTCTTTGTTTAGTTTATATTTTTGTAACACACAATAACTTTATGGTGAATAGTGGAGGATGGAAAACGTGAACGCACGTTAGGAATACTAGTTCAAGACTTCAAGTGTTAGAACAGGTTTTAAAGTAGCCGTTTACTTAAATTCTTTGGGGTGGACAAACCAAAAAAAAAAAAAAAGAAAAGAAACGCAGACATTATATCGGATATCGGCATTAGCCAGCCCCTCCCAATATTGGTATCGTGATAGCCAAAATTTCTATATCGGACAGGCTCTAGCGCTTATGGTAAGATTAAATTTCCATGAGAAAAAGCAGTGTTTTATGAAATTGCCTTTACATGAACTGCAATAAGATTTTAGAGACTGATTGTTAAAAGATGGTGCCAATCCATTTAGGTCTTGGCCTCTTCAATCCAATCAAGAAATATGTCATTCAAAACTATTTACGACAGGTAAGATATTAGGTTTATATAAACTAATCCTTTATGTTATATTCTTAGAAAATGAAGCTTCAATTAGCTCCATCCAATTTCAGACTAGCATATAAATGTAAATAAGACCCTGTTTTGTAAAAAAAATAAAAAGTTAGCTCAACTGTAGTAAAATACCATCAAAGATTTTTTTTCCAAATGCTTTGTTAAGCTATTTTATTTAATCATAAAAATATTTTGAAATAAGACTCAATTAGTTTGTAAAGACTTTAATACCCAGTTCCTATAAGCTGTTTCTAACCCGTGTGCACAGCCCACACACTAACGATTCATTAACGGTCCCTCCCGTCCTGCCCAGATATCACATGCTCTCCACTAACAGGTGAGAGTCCTTCCTTGTTATCGGAACGCCATCTGTATTATGGTGACAAGTAAACAACCCTGGGTGCAGGCAGCTCGAGTGGGTAGGAGAAGCGCACTTGTCGCCTGGGGCCACTAACAGGCTTCACCTGCTGCTCCTTTGACATCACACAGAACACACACACATGGGGAAGACTCAGTGGAGAGACAGACAAACATGCTGCTGCACAGACATGAGAATGACAGTTCAAACAGAGCACAGTGATTAAAAGACATGACATGTGGAGTAATAAAAAAAAAACCTGTTGAGGAAAAACAGGTCAGTTTATCTCACTCTTAAAGCTGCAACGGCTGCTTTGCCTTCTTCACTTTCTTCATCAAGTTCATCATCGCTCCATTCCCACTCGCCATCCTCTGTCTTATGCAAACGTCCACTGGAGCCGGGCACACGACGTACCTGACATAAAAGTCCGACTAAATGAGTACATCGTCTAAATGGCTTAAAAAACAAGCAAGTTTTTTCTGAAGTTGTTTCATTATCATCTTACCTTTTTCGACCTCTCTGTTATTGTGGGTGCCCGATGTATTAACTTCTCCAGTAAGTACTCGTGATTCTGTCATGAGGCAAAAAAAAAAAAGAATTGTGAATTACGCTACAAAGCCATTCTAGTCAAATTAGAGTTGAATTCACAATCTTTTTTAATAAATTTGAAACTTCATGTCAAGTGGTTAAATCTAAATGTTACCAAAAGAGTCACTTAGTTTTTACTTCTTACATTTTGTTGCTCAACTACTCTTTGTTGCTACATAGAAACAAATAGCTCGACTAAACATCAAAACATTTTCAAATGTTTGTTTGACGTTCAAATCCTTTAACCAGGGTGACACAAATCCAATCGTTGGTCGAACCTCAGATCCAGGAGGAACAATGCAGGTTCCGTCCTGGCCGTGGAACACTGGACCTGCTCTTTACTTTCACTAGGATCCTCAAGTGGTCATGGGAGTTTGCCCGTCCAGTCGACATGTGTTTTGTCGACTTTGAGTCACCGTGTTACTCGAGATACACTGTGGGTGGTGCTCCACACGCATGGGATTGGGGGCCTGTTGCTAGGGGCCATACAGGTACAAACGGTGTAAGCATTTGATTCACATTGCAAGGCTGCCTGTTGTCACCGATTCTGTTCATAACTGTCATGGACAGAATTTCTCAATGCAGCCAGGGGGTGAAGGGAGTCTGATGGTCTTAGGATTCCATCTCTGCTCTTTGCAGATGATGTGGTCCTGTTGACGTCATTGTGCCGGGATCTTCAGCTCTCACTGGAGTGGTTCACAGCAGGGTGTGAAGTGGCTGGGATGAGAATCAGCACCTTCAAATCTGAGGCCATGGTCCTCAGTCAGAAAAGGGTGGATTGCTCTCTTCAGGTCGAGGGCGAGTTCTACCTCAAGTGGAGGAGTTCAAGTATCTCGGGGTTTTGTTCATGAGTGAGGGACGAATGGAGCGTGAGATTGACAAGACGGATTGGTGCAGCGTCTGCAGTACTGCAGACTCTGTACCAGTTTGTTCTGGTAAAGGGTGAACTGAGCTGTAAGGCAAAGCTCTCTGTTTACTGGTCGGTAGAGCTGTCATTTCTAACACGAACCCAGAACCCAGTTCAACCCAGATTAGGGCTGGGCCGGGCCATAATAATGTGCTTAATGTACGGGCTGGGTCGGTGTCGGGTTTTTGATTGTGTCAGCAGACGTGCACGGCCGACGATCCAATTATATGGCAACATGGCTTGCCATTCAATCACCAGCCACATGTGGCCATTGGACCTGGCGCTGACCAGAAAGAGAAAAAGAGGTAATAAAAAGTACAGTTAAAGTAAAGAAAGACATCCAAACAAATGAGACATCTTTGTTCTTTCCTTTAGAATGTGGTGGTGTAATTTAAAAATGATTCAGCTGCACTAAGCGGATGCGCACGGCCGACGACCCAAACAGGTGAGATCCCAAAATATCAGACATGTTGGAGCAGGGTCCGTGTCTGAATAATGCAGAACGCAGGCTGAAGCAGGGATGTAATGCGCTTTGACGGCCATGAAAGGACAAACACCCCCTCAGCGTTGATCTTCTGCACCCTTAGCCATGCGTGTCCACCGACAGTTAATAACTATATAAGCAATCAAAGCTTAATTTAAAAATGTTGGGTTTTTTTCAGGTTCGGACCTGTAATTACTGTTAATTCATCGGGTCGGGTAAGGTTCAGAAATGATGACTATGGGCTGGGGACGGGTCAGAGTTTTTGGGCCCGAATACAACTCTACCGGTCGATCTATGTTCTTACCTTCCCCTTTGGCCACGAACTCTGGGTAGTGACCGAAAGAACGGGATTGTGGATACATGAGGTCAAAATGAGTTGCCTCCGCAGGGTAGCTGAACTCTCCCTTAGAGATAGGGTGAGAAGTTCAGTTATCCAGGAGAGACTCTGAGTAGAACTGCTGCTCCTCCACATCAAGAGGAGCCAGTTGAGGTGTTTTGGGCATCTGGTAAAGATGTCCCCGTGGAACCTCTCTTTGGAGGTGCTCCGGGTATGTCGGACTGAAGAGGACTAGAAGAAGACCCAGGACATGCGGGTAGAGAGAGTCTGTCTCTCTGTTGACCTGGGGTACCTTGGGGTCCTCCCAGAAGAGGTAGCTGGGGAATGAGATGTCTGGGCCTTCCTGCTCAAGCTGCTGCCCCGCAATCTGACTCCGGAACAAGCGGAAGCTAATGAATAGATGAATGGACGGACACAAACTGGTTTACTGTTCGTTTTAAATAATGACAGACTGTCATCTGCTGCTCACACAAGGTATTGCAGTTGTTCAGAGCAGCACCAACCAAAGCTTCCAGGGTGTATTTGGGTTGTGTGAGCTGCTCAGTCTGCACTCTAGCTGTTCCTGTTGCAATGATACAGGGCGCTCAGAGGCCAGTGCTTGACTATGTTTGTTGGAAAAAGCCATTAATTTAAAACTGCTGCACTGACCTCAGCTCAAGTCAGACACACTGATAGGTTGAAGATAAAAACCTGAATCACACAAACCTCTCAGGAACAGACCTTATACTTTGTTACAGATTCTGCAATGACCTTCCTTTCATGTAACTGAAAACATTGCTGCTTAAAGTAGTCTAATTAAATTATTAGATAAAGACATTTTCTGACATGCAATCACTTCTTTTTTATGAGCTGCTGCTTGAAACAAAGATGATGCTGACTCACGGTTATTGGTGTAAAGTTCAAGAAGAGTACAAGCACGTACCTTTGCTTTCTGAAAGAATTTATGCTTCAACAACTCTAATGACGTTGGCCTAAAAACAGAAGGGACATGAATCAGTTTTAGTAATGCAAGCGTCAGCCATTTTGTACCCTTGAGTGATTTAAAAAAATGTTGGTTTTGCTGTACAGTTTAATAAAAGTTTTATAAAACTACAAAAGATGACTGAATAAAATAAGATGAGGAACAGAACTACACTATATATTGTTAGGACATCCTAGATAAGACACAAAAAATAGACTGACTTGGATGAGTATATGTACTGGAAGGCACAGTAACATATATGCTAGTGGAGTACCTTTTCTCTGGATCCTTTTGTAAACACAAGGAGATCATCTTCCGGAAAGATTTGCCGTATTTCTTTACCGTCTCCTTGTCTGTGATGCCGGTCTCAAGAGTTGGTGGGTCATTCTGCAGCGTCAGCATCAAGACCTGAAGACACCAAAAATATTTTGTCCCTAATTAAACTGTGCAATTTATGAATTATACATGATAACATAATACAATACAGTATTTTAGACTGCTCCACAACCGTCTTACCTTCATTGGTGGGTATTTGTGATAAGGTGCAGCTCCTGTGGCAAGCTCAATTGCTGTAATCCCAAAACTCCAAATATCAGCTTTGAAATCATAGCCCCTCACCTTAGAAAGGAAAAATATACTTGAATTGTATATGCCAATAATTTTTAAAGAGATTAAATTTGAAATGTAAGCATAATACAGGTAGGTTAGATGCAGTCCATTTTTACATGTAAAAAGCAGTTTTCACTTTTACAGTTATTTAATCATTTAAAAAAAACGTAAAAACATGAGTAAAATGTGGTCACTGAGTTAAAACACAAGCCGCTGTGCAGATTTCTAAAATAGTGTCAGTATTCAGTTGTAATGCAAACTAAAAGTAGGTTTGTGAAAGTCACTTTTTGAGTTTCCTGCATGCTAAGTCAGGACTGACCTGCTCCATGACCTCTGGGGCCATCCAGCATGGCGTCCCCACAAACGTTTTACGCACTTTGTTTCGGGTCATGTCACCACCTGTGGCTAGAAAGGCACTGACGCCAAAATCTGAGGGAAGGAGAAACGACCAACGACAACAATCAGCCAGTCGATAACAGATTTGTAGAAACAACGTGTGCATAGAAATGATGAGACTGTCCACATTAGCATACAGTACAGGGCAGCAAGAGGAAGAACAAAGCATCTTTATGTACCTGCAATCTGCACTGATCCATCGTCTCCAAGCAGAATGTTTCCAGCCTTAAGGTCTCTGTAGAAAAACATTTGACAAGATTTTTTTTAATATACTGTACTTAAGTTCTACATCAAAACAATCTCAAGCTCTCACACTTCTTTTCAGGATTTCACAAGTAATGCTGAGCCTGTAGGTAATTTGTTCATCCCTGCTCTGCCTCCTCTGGTGGTGATAAGACGATCCAGCGGGGACATCTGTCTGCCACACACTACTGTCACCTCGCCAGCCAGACAGCGCTGCCATGGCAACAGACATTCGGAGACAGAGATGAAGGGTCAAGCAAAAGGCGAAGATTTAAAATTAAGGACAGCAGCCGTGCCAGTGAGAAAATGTCCTTCTGTTGTTCAGTCTTTAAGGGAAATTAATGCACATTTTATAAATAAAATGGAATAAAGACCCCACTGGATGCAGAGACAGAGAACGCTACCAACCTGTAACATACAACAACAAGCGGCCAGATTAAAATACACAAATTAATCAGACAAATCTTTATGCTGCACTGGTAGGAAAATAACATCTCAGCAGTTCCTGCTGCAACCAGATGGTGGGACTATCATTAAAAAAAACTTGTCCTTTAGCTGAAAAGGGAGTTCATTCCAGCAAACAAATGAGTCTAAATGAATGTAAGGAAACTTGTCTTTTAAATACTGGTTTAGAAATGACATATGGTAACCATTAAAAGAAACAAAGGCCTACTTTCACCACTCTATTCATCGTGTTTTTCAATCTATATGAAGTATACTGAAAACCAGATGAGCTTTAAGCTGCAGAGACAAACTTTGAAAAGCATTTTAAACCTTTCTATAACTTATATTAAAATATATTAGGACACAGCCAACACATCCCATAGCAACAAATGGCAGGGAGTGGCAAACATTGAGCTCCTGGGGACACAGCCAGAGCATGAAACACATTAGGCTCATGAGCCTGAGAGCAAACGATGGTGATTTCCACCTCAGGGAGAGCAACACAAAGACAGGATGATACTTTGGTTTAGTAATCAGCTTGAGGTCAAATTTTGATATGCCTTTATGTCTAGACAAGTGAAATTACATAACTGTTAGAATATAAGGCGTCTATTGCATGTTAGAACTGTGTGACTGATATTTGCAGCTTCACAGTCTGTCACCTCACAGCTGGGTGATACCACAGTCATCCAGTTGTTTGCACTTATTGCTTTCTCCTATAACCCACACTCTTCCTGAACCCTTCGTGTGAAACACGTGTTCGATTGTGTAAGAAGCTGGGTTTTTAGGGTCTGGAGGGGAAGCGCCACACAAACCATGTGAGCTTAAAATGCAACTTCTTCCTTTAACTTGGTGTCTCTGAAGCCCAGTCCTGAGGGAAACTCTGCACGTTTTAGATATTTTCTTGCTTTAATACATCTGATTGACATTGATGGATAATTAACAGGCTTCAGTGGAACTTGAGGACAAATTGTTGAGACAGTTTATTTTCTTGAAACGGGTCTTGAAGGACGGTGTGCCCTGAGGGCTGGGAAGGGTTGGGAAGCACAGAGTGGAGCCATCATTGCTTCAGTAGATTGAGTTGGACTAATAATGGGCTGTTAATGTACTGTAGGCTCAGAAAGAACCAATTAAACACAAAGCTCTGACAATTTGTCATGTTAAAACATTGTTTTACAATTGGGGGGATCTTTAGGACACAATGTAAGGTTATTAAAAGAACTGCACAATTAACAAAAACCCATCTGCGACACTTTGTACAATAAAAAGTGAGTTGGCAACAAGTCCAGATATCCAAAAACATTGTAAACCTCCCATGAAGGGTGTCATTTAGCAGCTGGAATCATTTTTTTTAATTGCCCACTGCCAAAGGTGAAAGACATTCATGTTTTACCCATGTCTGTGTATGTGTCTGTTAGCAAAATATGAAGGGTTCTTAATTAAACTCTAAGAATGTAATCTCTACAACTGATTATCTTTTTGAGTCGACTCGATTTTAGATGGCTGCCACAGCTAATCAACATTAGCAAAACACAAAAATGATAACTCGGCCAGTTTTACAGATATTGAGCTAAAAGTTGGTGTTTTTGTAGCTGACAAAGCTAGCTGTAACTATCTCCTAAAAATGTGATTTTAAATGCTAATGGATCACACAAGATCTCACAGTGAGATTGAGCATGGTGACATTTACAAAGTTAAACCAAAACAGCTGTAACTTCATCCCCTCTCATCCTACATTGGTTGTACTGTAGTCCCTCACTACATCATGGTTAGACTTTCATGAACTCAATCTTTCAAGGTTTTTCAACGTAAGATTGTACACGACACGATTGTCAACTTTAATATTACTCATGTAATACGGGATAAAAAGTTAACGAAAAAATACTTCAGACAGGCACCGTCATTTTGTAGTTTTCTTTCAATAAATTTGAACTGCAACGCCAGTCAAAAGAACTACACTACCCAGAAGCCAACAGTGCTTACGGTCGCTGCTTTCTGCCAAACTGGAGGGAAAGCAAAGTCAGAAGTAATGACCGATCTATTAAGCGCACAGAACTGGCAGGAAAGTCTCAAATAATCCTGAAGCTTCCTGAAGATAAATTATCCACACGCACATCAACCTGGACGGGGTGGTGGGCTTCATCGCTGCAGGGTAGGTCTGCCGAACCGGAACAGAGCTGCTGGTCTGCAGAGCTGGTGAGTACCCATATAACTTTTTTGGTTTTTAAAAGGTTTAAGAGTTTAGAACATTGCAAGAGTGTGGGAAGGGTTTATAAAGCCTTAA